CGACCTGCCGCTTGAACACAATTTACATGGGCAAACATCACACGGACAGGCGGACAGACATGCTTAGATCAGTTCAGATATGACTCTAAATCGATAGGTATAATAAAAGGTGCTTACATTCGTAAGCCTTTCTGCGTGTTACATACAGGCGCACTAACTTAATATACACTCTACCACAAATGGTGTAGGGTGTAAACTTAGATTAAAGTGAAAGAAATTCTCAGAGAAACGACTAATGGATGATCGCTGAGAGAAGAAGAAGAGTAGAATGAAAAGGGAGAAAGACAGAATAAAAAAAAAAAACAAAGTCAATAAATAAAATAAAAATTATAAAAATATAATTCAAAATTAATTTTTATTATAAGTTGATTGCAAAATATTCTTTAATAAATCGTGGCAAATTAAAACGAGATATATAAAATGAATGAAATGTCCGCACCTATAGCTAGCTAAGCTAAGCACCTGCAAAACGTGTGTATCTATGTATATGTATGTCGGAAATATATCATTTAAATCAAAATTAAAATAAAATTTACACAAAAATAATTGACAAATTATTTTCAACAAAGTGCTAAATTAAGCATTTACCATAAAAATTTTAAAAACATTTAGCAATATATATACATCCAACAACAACAATAACACCAACAATGGCTTATATTATAGCAACACAAACGTCGCAGCAAACAAAAAAAAAAGTAGAAAAAGAAGAAGAAGAAGAAAATATCTTAATGATGCTGCTTGTTGCTCATTAGTTGAAAAATTATGATATTTATTTGGCTTTAAATGATACTTAATAGAGACATCAAGTCATTGAAATACTTTTCCTTTCCTTCTTCATCTTTTCCCTTTCATCTTTTGTTTTTTTTTTTTTTTGTTTGGTATTTTATTATCATACTAATTATAAAGCACAAAAGTCATTTGTGTGAGTGAGTGTGATCTCATAAATATAAATTCAACGCCATCTATAACGAAAGATAAAGTCACGCCTTCGCAGGGAATTTGTGACTATAACTTTCACGAAGATGGTGGGTTTTTTTTGTCTCTTACATCTCTCCTTATGTTTCATACATTTTTCTCTCTTTTCTTCGCACTCTCTTGCGTTTTATATACGGCATTTATGACATGTGCTTTTGTTGTATTTTTCTTTTCTTTTTTTTTTGTTTGATTTTTTTGCGTTAGTTCTCTTCTCTCTTTCGGCTAAATTTAACTCATGCTCTTATTGGTTGTCTTTTGTTATCGTGACGCGTGATCGCTTCATCTCAATTCTTCCACTTAAGTCTATTCAAGCATTAGTGGTGTTGTATGAATAACTTTTTTTTTTCATTTTTTTTTTTATTTTTGTGGTTAGCTCATGAAAAATTTCATTTGCATTTCAAAAATTTCAGTCTTATTTAATTTTTATTAAGATTCGGTCGATTATCATTCGGAATTTTAAGCAATATATCCGGGATTGTAAAAGAAAAAAAAAAGAAAAAAAGAAATATTAAAATGGAAACTTCATCGGTAGTGCGACGACGTTTTCCAAATAGTTTCTCTATTGATAATATTTTATCGACTCCAATAAATTCGTCAGCAGCAAATTTAATGAAAATATCAAATGATGATATATCAAGTGATCGAATGCATTGCTTATATACAGCAGCAACAACAGATCGGAATATAAATGATATGAATAGCGATGTGCAAGTCTCAAGTCCTGAATCAAATTTTACTGAAGAAATGCTCGAAGATGCTAAAAGTGACATAACTTCAGAAGATGATCATGGTTAGTAAATCAATCGTCAACAATATCCTCTTTTTATATCATAAGGAATTTGTTTAGGAAGCAAAACCTGCTACGCATAGATTGTCTATAATTTATTTATAACATATTTTACGGGCTTTTTAGTTATTCAGATAATCAGTATGAAGAAGTAAAGGCTTCGATAACACAATTGCAAAATTATCCGAATCTTTTCCTTATTAAAATTTCGGATCAGCCATCTTAACCTCACGTTCATTGCAGTTTTGCTGACAAGCAAACAAATGTCTTTTGACAAAAGTGACTTTAAAGAGACATATATATCTATATAGCCTTGACCTAAAATATTAGGCACAATAAGTGTTACAAACATTCGGGATGAAAAGTAAAAAAAAAAACTCATTTTGTGTTCATATTCGTATCTTGATTAAAAAATCTTTAGTGGATCTACTTTCTCTGCGTTAATCAACACAGCAATCCTTTGGGCCTGTTGTGTACAAGTTTTGTGCACTCAGCTGCAGTAAAAGCGTTCCAGCCATTTGTTAAGACGCATTACAATGCTTTCTCTTGGGGTAAGGTCGTGCTCCTATGTCTTACCCTTCAATACACCCTCTAAAGATGCTCGATAGTGTTCAGGTCAGGAGACTGCGCCGGCCAGGCAAGCAGGATAGTGTTATTTTATCTAAGGCAACGCATGTTGGTCACCGTGTTATGACATGAAGCATTATCTTGCTCGAATTTGACCTGTAGCCTGTGTTGACGGCATCAAGACAGTTTCTAGCACAGTTTCCCCATGCGTAGCATAGTAGGTGCAAATCGCGACTACCAGGTGAGTGTACGCGGGTTCTAATCTCAGTGCGATAGAAATTACTTCAGCCATAGCTATAGTGAGTATTCAGCATAAGGCATAATATTTACCGATTGAGCACACATTCACTATTTCTTTCTTTCTTTCTTTCTCTTCTTTGACTTGTTTCTGACCGTGACGGCATTTTGCGAATATGGGACGTCCCCTAAGTAATTGGTCATATCAGAAGTAAAAAAAAAGAAGAAAAGTTTCTAGCACATTGATGTGCCTTTGACTGTCCATGTGGCCTTGGCCAACGAATATGTGAACAACCTGTCAGGCAGCCATGCAGCTCCAGGTTTTAATGCTGCCTGCTGTCCATACACCAAAGAATATCTAAAAAAAAAACTTAACGTTAGATCGATCGTATATCATATAAAAGTAAATTAAACTGATGATACGAAAACTTACCTTAAAGCTGGATTCGTAGGACCATAAAGCATTAGACCAATCTTTTTCATGCTCATTCTCTGCGATTGTTTTTCTTTTACTCGTACAGTATAGACTCTTTCTTGACTTTACAGTCTTTTAAGCCAGCTACTTCAAGTCTTCTTCTTACCGATCTTACCGGAAACTTAACGAGTTTCCAGCGTCTTCCAATAGATATGTAGCAAGTCCAAACGAAGTGTTTTTGGGATTCATGAGAGACTCTTGAATAAGTTTTCTTTCCTTGCGCTCAGTAGTCAACGCCTGTTTAGTTCTGCCTCTTTTCACTCTATTATTGTATGGAAGCCGCTCACCGAAAACATTTTACTAACTTGACAATCTCTACCTAGACTTGCCTTCTTCGTGTCGAATCTGTATTTTTATCCGTTTTCCTATACAAAATTTACTTCTTTTAGGCATCTCGCAAACAACGCACACAAGCTTCTTGATACTATGAGCAGCGAATGAAAAAAATTAATATATTTTTCAAAAGAATTCATTTTTCACTTTCGTTTGTCTATACTATTGCTTTATGGTTTCTTATCTATTCTTATATGTGTCACCAATGTAGGATGAGGACGGATTCATTTGGTCAACATTTTAGCAATGCCCAGAAGGGAGCACCATACACTTCACAAAGTATATATAATCATGATCAGCATCAGATTCTGCATTAATCAAAGCCGAATGTCCGAATGTACATCTGTTCGTCTGTGTAATGTCTATTGTAAACATGCTCCTGTTCAAGGAGGCTATCGACTTCAAATTTGACAAAAACATAGGGGGTTCATGCAGGCAGGCTGATATTGAAAATGGGCCAAACGAGTCAAAGGACATGTCTACAGAACTACGCGAGCGAGACCCACTGTCTTTTTCAATAAAAATATAATTTTTTGCTCATTACTCGTAAACAACGGTAGATAAACGTACAAAAATTTGAAAGTATATTATATGGGCAATACTGTAGGACGAGTACAAAAGTGAAAAAAATTGATCACGCCTACTTAATGTTATAGTGTAACAAATTTAAGAAAAGTATATTTGGTTGCGACCGAATTTTTTATACCCTTCACTGTTATTCCAGAAAGAGGGAAAAAGTATAAGAACTAAATTTTCATGTTTTCATGGCTGATTTTCTCTATTTTTAAAATAAAAAGTTTTGTCGCTTAGGCTTGTGCGCATTGCAGGCGCATCCTCTGAAAAGTTTAGGTCAATTACAGATTCTTTTGCAATTTGTAGGCGATATATTCAGTGAACACACGAACATGTTTAGGCGGTGGCCAAGACTTTATATTCTTTATGGGATTTTTAGAGCTTGTTTGTGCGTGTGACAGAAATATTGAAAAAACAAATTAAATTTTGATACACAACACTTCTTCTTTTATAGGGGTGCCTAATAGTTTTGTTTATATGTATATGTTTCATAACGTACTTTTCCTGGTCAATAATTGCGTAAGTACTAAAGAAAATATTGCAACTCTGCGCGAGTGTCTTGGTGACGGCTGCAACTTCTTGATTGTATGCTCTTTTCATATATTGAGAAGAGCATATCTCAGTTTGCCTTAAGATTTATGTTTACCCAAACATTAGAGGAAACCCGATAAGTAGCTTCAAGCCTAATGTGTCACTCTACCGTCAAACTAACGCGATATTCAGTAAACATCGTCCTTAATGCATCATAAACGAAGAAAAAGCTTTATAGACTTGAGCAAATGATCTTAAGCAGATGGCATGTTGTTTAGTTAAAGAACTCCCATTGTCTTCCAGGTTTTTAAAACGTTGCAAAGTTTTCGGTCAGGTTTTGGTTCTTTCAATTTTGAAAATTTTAAGTTAATTATCTCACGACATAATAAAAAAAAAATACAATAAAATAACATATTTGTCGACTTTGTAATGTGCTTTTAATTAACGAAAGACACCTTTCCGCTATAGTTGTAATGCTTTTGTCGATTTCCTACAAAAAAGTTATTCAAAAATGAAAAATGGTTGAGAGAGAAAATGTTGCTAGAGTGAAACTTCGCAGAAATTTTGAAATGAATTCAACGCATTTCTCTTTGTATTGTAAAGGATTTTGTTGTACATTGAAAAGACGAATAATTTCTTGTGGAGATACGAAATCCAATCCTTCGGTTTTAAATTTTAAGTTAGTTGAATGTTGCTTGGTATTTCATCTGCAAGCAAATACTAAAATCCTATCTAAAATTTAAAAAATATCACTATCATCTCTGCTTTAACTTTCCTCTGCAATATTTAAAAATGAGTAATGTAGTCCTCATAGAGTATTTATGTGTAAATTCCTGGTTAGCGTGATATTTCAAGTCGATTTTTTTGTAGCTATATTTTCGGACTCATTTGGCGTAACTATCGTCTGTAGAACTTTTTAATAGATGTATCTGTCTTCTTATCTGATTCCATATGACCGATTCCATATTTCTAGCCTAATCTGCAGACTCTATCGCACATCGAGTTTCAGATGACACGGCCGTGAGGCAAAGTCTGACCAAAAGCCTTTATTATATTTCTTTCAGTATTTCTTTTATTTTTCCCATTATTTCTGTTAGCGCATATGACAGGAGTACCCGATACTTCCACCTAACAAACAGCCGCGGTTTGTGTAAGCCTGACCGTTTGTGGAATATACTGACCGACAAAAGCATTATGTCTTATTTTTATGGAATTTTCAAAAGATATCATTGCACTATAGCATTCTCAATATTAATTACCTGATGCCAAAAAAATGCATTATCTTTAATGGTTTCGCCTTGTACATAGTACACACAATATAACCCAAGTGTACGCAAGTTTGAGAAGCCCAGTTATGGTCGGGGAAAAAACTCTATTGAAAGGAATTTATGGCTCTCAGTGATAATATCGATGCCAAGTTCGAATAGCGGCGAGTCCAAGTTCAAGTTGCATGCTTGTCATAATCGGAGCAGCAAACTTATTTCCAGTGCAACAAAGTCCTACAACACAATTCATGCAATTGAGTCGAAGGTTAAAGAACACGCTTTAGTATATGGCAAAGATAATTTTCCAATGTGGGTAAGCGATTTTTGCAGTGTCGCCTGATTAAACATTAAAAGCATTCAGGTGGTATGATATCTTGCTTCAACCGCTGCATTCACCTCACATTGCTTCTTCGGGTCGCCGCTTATCTCAATCGGATTACTTATGGCTTGTGCAAGCATTATTTTCGCTCAGATGGAAAATTTTTTTTTTTTTTTTATGATAACCTTAAGGGGAATTGATCTTCCACCAGAAGAGTGAGGAAAAGTATCGGTTAGGTGTACACAATGTTTCGGATAACGAATGATAATGAATGAAGAAAACGCAAACACACACGCACACACTAACAATAAGACGGTGTTCTTGCTAAAAAAAAAAACCCTAATATCTTGTATGGAAATCCGGAATAAAGTAAGCGGAGTGGTTGACCTCGCAAGGCTTTCAGTCCAGGACATAATTCATTCATAATATAAAAACAGTTATAAGCAACTTAAAGTGTTATCAGCTGTGGAAAAAGTAAAACGTTCCCCTAATGAACGTAATAAACGATCAATTTTGAGACTGATTATAATGATCCTCGATATTATTTCAAAAATTATGCTTTATAGTGTTTTGCTGACAAATATGTTGTTGAAAAAAAAAAAAAAAAATTAACAAATTTAAATTTAATTAAGAACAACAAAATTCATTTATTTTGTAACAAAAAAATTTTACAAAAACAAAAACATTATTAACATGTTTAGCACCTAATTTAGTTTATTTATTTATTTATTTGTTGTTTGTTTTTTTTTTTTTTTCATTTATTTTTTGTTGGCAAAAGTACTTGTGGAATGTTTTTAGTTTTTAATGAAATGATCATTTGTTGAATGATTATTGGTTGGTTGGCAACGCATGCACTCAAGCAGCTATTAACTGACGCCAATTGACCATTTAGTCCGACAAGCAAGGCATTTTGTAATACCTAAAGAGACATATTCGTCTGGCAAAAGTTTTATTTTTTTTTTCTTTAACGTAATTGTGTTAACATAATTAAAAAAAAAAATAAAAAATAATTTTTAACTATTTTTATATTAAACAAGGGATCTTTTTGCATTTGAAATTCGTCTTTGCCGATCGTTCCTTATTACTATTATTATCACTATTATTATTATTATTATTATTATTGCACCTTACAATTTCATTCAAGACCGTTTATAACGCATGTATGTAATGCATGTGTCTCGCATCTCTAAAACTTTGATATATTCATTTAAGAATAATCTATAAATGCATTGATGTTTGAATCAATTGAAACCCGTCCTTAGGTAAGTTCCTTTGCATAGAACATAACGAAGGTTTCAAAAGCTCTGTGTAACTTATAAGACTTGGCTTTAAATTCATCATTTTTAGTCAGAAATTTCCTAAAACTCAAGTTTCGGTTAAAAGTAAGGATTTTTTATATAAAGATAAGTTCCTATTAGACAATGGCGGCACCAACATGTTACCAGACCGACACAATCTTTTCTGAAGACTCGTTTCCATCGTCCTTAACTGTTGCAACTCAAACCATCAAATACCCTTGTTATCGTTGCTGTTACTATGGTTGTTGTTGTTGTTGTGGTTGTTGTTTTCTTGTTATTATTCTTATTCTAATTATTGCTATTGTGGTTGTTGCTTTGGCTTTTAGGTAATGAATTGCTAGCCAAACAGTGTATGCAACGTATACAGAACAAGTAGGCTAAGTCCAAATCTCCCATACTTACCGTCGTTAAAATCTTTAGCGTCCCCTTGCTTTATTTTTGCATTTACGGTTATCAAATAGTGAGTGAGATAAAATGTATCTTCCACCTTTTAATTCAGTAAGAGATATTATTAAGATAAAATTAATCCACCATGTCCATGCGTCCACCATAATTAATTAAGAAATAACATACGTAACTTGTCGCATTCTATTCTCCAACTAATTTTATTTGATAAACATATCGATGGTATTGTTAGGAAGAAATTGATACACCCAATCGTAGGGTCCATTATATTTATTTTAGAATGAACGCATTTATAGACAGACAATAATATATCTTCATTTGAGGATTTGTACAAAATAATTTTAAGCATTGTATCTTGTTTACCTCAATCCCTGTGAAAAAAAAACATAACTTAATTACTTATAAATTTGTGGAGACTTGAAAGATTTTTCCCATTTTTTAGCGTATTATAGTAGAGTTTCCCGTAAAGTGAATGTAGCAAATTTCAACCTTCGATCTTTCACAATTTTGTGAGTAATTAGGGAGAACCCCACAAATTTTTGTTTAGAGAAACAGAGTTGCATTCACTTCACGCTTCGCTAGGGGTTTGCACACTGAGCAATTTGGCCCGTTGTCAACATCAACCTGCGTGCAGAAATTTCCAATATTTCTACCAAATTTGAAGTCGAAATCTTCATTTTTGGCAGATAGACACACAGACGCATAGACAGACAGACGCACAGACATGATTTAAACGATTCAGGGTTTCACGCTAATATACTCTATAGGGTTTCTGAAGCTTCCTTTTGAATTTTGCAACTATTATGACAAAATGGTGCTGGAGGTATAATAGTATCCAATAGTACAAGACAAAAAAAAAAAACAAAAGTTACGCTACAAATATATGCAATTAATATACATGAGATTACAACAGGATTACAAGGGAACTTATAACGTTGCTTGTGCTATTGTTGTTGCTGTAATGGTCGTTATTACTTTTGATGCGATTATTTTGTTGTTATTGCCACAGTTGTCATATTTTCTGCTCTCGCTGTTGTTGTTATTACACTTCTTAACTTTTTTTGTTCTTCTTGTTGCAGCCATTTTTGTTCTTATTTTTCTTTTCTTTTTTTTTTTGCTAGAACTATTATTGTAAAATTATTATTGTTTTTTGTTGTGGCTATTGTTGTTGATGTTTTTTATTATACTACCATCACTACCGATATTACTATT